TCCCTGCTCATGGCAGGGGGGTTGGACTAGATGACCTTTAGAGGTCCCTTCCAACCCAAACCATTCTATGATTCTATGAACAGGCTCCTGGTTCGTTAAGGGAGGGACCATACTTTCCCATAGGCTTGTCAGGGGCTTAGTTGGACTGTGGACATGGATAGATCCCATCCTGGTCCTTGTACTTCTACAAATACTAGTACTAAAGAACTATAGGTAGTGCCAAATATAGTGCTATTGTGAAAAGCCACACACACCTGAAAGAAATATAGGAGCCTGATCTCTCCTCCGTGCAAGCCAGCAGGCAAGGGTGCAGAGCTGCCCTGGCCTCTAGCTGCTGGCGGGATGTAGACTGCTTTAACAATGACCAAATGTTCTTCCGACTCCCAGTGTGAATGACCAGGTGAAGGCAAAAGCAACTTGTGAAGCAGCTCCATCTCTTTCCTCCATTCCCTGACTAGCTGCATGGATTGTGGGCTGGCTTGTGCAGGCAGCCTGGGGAGAGCTCTGCCCCAACGCCTACGCAGGATGACCCAGCAATTCTTGGTGGGGTTGGCTGGGCTTTGACTGTGGTGGTTGTTTCCTATTTGGCTGTTAAAATAAAGCTTTATGCTCTACAGACGTGTCATTGTGGCCTTTGCCTGAATCACACATAATCTATAGAAGGCTGTCTGGGTCTCTCAGAGGGGACAGAGCCAAGGCCACTCTTCACTTTCAGTTCCCGCAGGGGGTGGCCAGCCTATGTCCATACAAGCTCATTCCAGGCCATGGCTCAGACACTTCCCTCTCAAATGAAATGTCTGGGCTGTTTTTAACCATGTGTGCAAAACTAAGGCCCAATAGGGATAAATGAGTTCATCTGAAACACAAATAAGGAGTCCTAGGGCTCCATGCTCAGCTGTCCCACTGGAGGTAGAAGGCCTTACTATCCCAGTAAGGACTGTATCTGAGCAAAGCACATTAGCTAAAGCCCAGCCCTGGAGTTGGGCAGTCAGTTTCCCTGAAGGTTCAGAGACTAACACAGGGTCCCTGTCTAGCAGCAGCCCGCTCCTCTGTTAGTGTTGGTTCTCCACAGCAGTCGGGGGGTTCACTCCAGGGGTGTCCCTGCATTCTTCAGCTGCTCAGATGGCCATCAACTTCTCGTGCATCTTGCCAATCAGCTGATCAGCATAATTTCTTCTGTGACTTACTGAATCAGCTGTTTTGCAACAGCTACAGCTGGAGCTGCTAATACCATCCCCACCATCCTCTTCCTAAGCCTCGAGTGACTGCTGCAGCTGAGTGCTGCGGCCATCGCGGTTTACTTAATAACTTTTGTATTTACCACATCTCTATAAAACTTTGAGATTTTTACTCTCCCAGTACGCATGAGAGAGAGGGGACAATGCTGCCTTTCTCCTGTTACATACAGAGAGGTCGTGCTCAGAGGTATGAAGTAACTTGGTTGAGGACAAATGGATAATTTGCAGAAGAACTGGAAATGGAGCCTTCAGGTTCAGAGTGCCCTCATTGTAAATACAACTATGCCCTGTCTTTCTGAGTGAGAAGCAGCTCATTAAGACAGAAGGATAAACCTGCACCTACCTTACTGTGTGAGACCCAAACTGGTCTTGGTCTTCCCAGAGTCCATGTTCCACCACTCTCCTTGCTGGTCCCTGACTGGTCTGCCCTCTCTTCCTAAAGCTCTGAGAGCTCAGTTACCTACTCTTACTGGGGTCCAGCATTTATTTCTGTTTCTTTCATATAATATGTGCGTGCTTGCTGCAGTAGACACTGCCCTGTAGGTTCTGACTGTGTTGCCAAGGGTTTAAAGAGGGTACAAGTAAGTAGGCCTCTCTTTAAAAGTGCCTGCTAACTGCCATATTTTCTTAAACTATTTGAAAAGCTCCAGATCGATGTGAGGAGATGCTCCCCAATGTCTCTGCCACATGTGCGCTTTCAGAAATGAAACCTGTGCATTGGAAAGACCTACCTGGAACAGAGTGTTTGGTCCCTGCAGCCTGGCAGGACTCAGAGGAGCAACAGGGCTGAGGCTGCTCCAGAAATGAATGCTAGACAGCAGCGGGCTTGGGGTCAGCAATAATCCATTTGGGGTCTGCAAGACAAAAAAACACCCCATGATGCATGCCTCGGGACTTAAAGCTCCATACAGTAGTCACAACCCCTAAAGACTTACTTACACTTCACCTACCGGCTCTTTTTCCCACTGAATTCAGACATACAGCAAGCCGAGTATCCTGGCGGGCAGCAGCTGCCCATCCAGCCCTGCATCCTGTCTCCACAGTGGTCAATACTGGTTACCTGCACATTTAATATTCCTTCATATGCAAATTGATTTCATTTCTATTGCGATTCGCTTAAGAAGAGACACAGTTACTGTTTATTTGAACCACGCTAATGCGACTGTATAAAATACCATGCGTGCCCCAATGTCTGTAAACACAACCTAGTCTCCTTCAGAGTAATTTTTTACCTTTTGAAGGGCAGCAATTGCTTGAACTGACTGCAGTTTTTGAAGCATTAATGCAATTGCGTGTGGAGCCAAAAGACCCACTGCCAGCCTTTGAAGTTTACTCCTCTGATGGTGCCTGTTCAAAATGGAAGAAGTTTCAAGAAACTGGCAGTGCACGGGCTGACGCAGCGAGAGGCAGGGGTATGGGTTGGGTGCCCAGAGGGATGGTGGAGAGCACAGCTAATTGTTTGAAAAGAACCAAAATGGCAAGAAGTAGGAATCCAAGGCTTTTCCCAACTTGGAGGTGGCTCCTTCCAGTGCCATGGCGCACAAGGATTGCTGGGAATGCTCTCAGCACTTCTAAAGCACAATTGGAGGGGAGGTAGAGTTAAAGCACATGCAAATCTCCATTCAAAGGAAGAATCACATGAATTATTCTGTATCCAGAGTAACTTTTATCTTTCCAAAAAAGAACATGAAAGCAATGTGACAGTTTTGAACACAGTATTTGGCATAATGAGTTAATCTCACCAGTAACCTTGATGCCAATTATCAAAATCAGTCCTATTTAGCAAAGCACTTCATGGAATTTGAGTGCACACTTAGCAAGTAAGTACGTGTTTCGCTGTGTAGGACAAGTGCCTCAGTGCTCTGCTGAACTGGGGCATCAGTTTGTCCAGAGTTTAAAATATGTAAAGAGAAGATAGAAGATAAGGAGTATCTCCCCCTAGTAACCAGTACGTCATGCATTCTGGTACCTGCTAGCTTCCCACCAGGCCAGAAATATAAACTCCCACATACGGCAATTGCAACCAGGGGTCTCACTTAAAAACTGCTTACACCACGGGCTGTCACATCCTGTTGCCAGGACTCTGCGGCGAGCAGGCTCAGAAAGGCAGGTACCACAGGTCATGTGGATTTTGAAATATGACGGACATATTTGCAAAGCAGTGCCTGAGGGATCAGCTGTGGTGTTTGAGGCTCTGTGCAAACGCACAGGAATACAGACCTGCTCTGACGTGCTTGCACTGGAGTTCACAACAGGGTCAAACAATTAGTTTAACACCAGCAGAAGAGATGGGAGAGACAAGGAGCAGCAAACATTAAGGTCCTCCCAGTGATTCTGTCCCAAGGCGTCTGAAAGGCTGTTTAATACAAAGAGCTTGGCTGCTCTTGAAGGGGACGATTTCTCTAAGGAATCTCAAAAGAAGCAGGGTTCATGGAGAAATGTGAAGGGAAAGGACAGTGCCATCTCCTTTGTGCTGAAGAAGATGGATCAGAAACACCAAACCCCGTGGAAGAAACCACAGTTATGTCCCAAGGAGTAATAAACACGTGGTATTGCTGGGAAAGTACCGATGAGGTCAGGGTTTGGATATATTTGGATGACAACAAAAGGGGCTAAGAGTGGGTGGAGGCCTGGCAAGGAGAAAACTTCTGTCTTGATCTCATCAAGTGTCAGCTCTTGTCAAGACATCTGAGAAAAAATACTTGACAAGCAGGCATTTGTGAATGGCTCCTTCACAAACACCCTCTTCCCAGGACCACAGTGCTTTCACAGGACAGGAAAACAGCAGTACCAGTGAGCGCACCTTTCCTGTGCCACATTACAAGCTGATGCTCCACAGACAGGCAGCTATTGATGGGGATTTACGAGACTGACAAAGAACACACCGAATTAGGTCAGGATAAATACTCAGAGATCTATTTACACAAGAGCCTACTAACGTTAAAACCAAAGATGTAAGCAGCAAGACCCAACACCATTCGACTAAGGACACAGCATTGTGTCAGCCGTACTAAGAGCTCCAATGAGCTATGCCTCGATTCTTTATTTTTTCTCTAAGAAGCCGCAGATATCCAGAACTGAAAATGCAGTTCTTGAGAGGGTCTTTTGAAAATAATGAAGAAAACTTGGAGGTGTTTGTTCCTACCTAGATACAGCCAGAGCAAGTCTTCAGAGAGAGAGGAGATTTGAAACTGAGCTGTCCTCCATTCATCTCTGGAAGCATGTTAACATGCCTAACAACAGTGCTAAGCAAAAGCTCATGTCCTCTGATGATCAGAGCACTAATGTCTCCAAGTTCTGCCAGAGCCAAGAGCCAGCCAAAGCAAGCCTCCAAATCTGTTAATATTTAATGCAAAAAGAGCACAGGGCCTCCCAGGCTTGTTCTCAGTATCGCCATCAGCCAAGCATCAAAACCACCAGAGGAAACGTGTAAACAACACCACAGCACAGGCTATCCTTAAATTACACACAGAAATTGATGTGTCACTTCATTTTCTGCCCTCATACAGCTGTACATCTGGTATTAGACGTGGAACCCAGTGGGAAGTTCCTACTTAAAAAATGTCATTATAATCTAAGCATAGGAACAGTTTAAATAGAAATAATTCATTGCACAGAGAGGATTATGTTAAGCAACAATGCTCATGGCTCCTGACTTCTCTGACAAAGAATGCATGTAAGTACAATCTTTCTTGTCACTTCTAGCTGTCAGATAACGGACAAGTGCTGTCACACGTACATTACTTCCCAGGTCATTAGGCACGTGCTGGAGCCTGGATGGTGTATGTGGATGCAATACAGACCATGCACGTGCTGGCTGCAGGCACACTACTTTGTCCATGAGGAAACAGCATGTTGTAAATGTTACAAATGCTAAAGTAGAGGCCTGAAGAAAAAGAGTGAGTCACAATTATATATCCACATTGGCCAAGGGACAGCCAACAAAAATAACAAGCGTAAGTAATCTGTAAAAGAAGCAAGTACTGAACAAAATCTAAATATCTCTCTTTGAAGCTAACCAAATGGAAAGCTGACATGTCTCTACCAAAGTATGGTACTGTATGCACTGAAATCTTCAAACCCATTTTTCTGTTCTGAAATTGCTTGTACACATCACGTGCCCTTTCTCAGGGCTCCACCCAAGGGTATTCCTCATGACTAGCAGGTACAATGGAAAGCCATCTGAAATACCCTCTCAGGCAGCAGGACCTTCTCTGAACCTACATCACTCCTGGAGCAACTGGTGTCTGACATCCTGTTCTGCCCCTGCCCCATGGCAGCAGGTGTCTACCACTGGGATCTGATAAATCAGAGATCATTTGAGATACGATGCATGCTCTTCCTAGGATAATGGCATGAACTGCAGATTTCCAGCCTAAATTATGGCTTTAGTTATTTTGCATTGTGGTATTACAGTTATCTGAACACAGTTGTTACACAGTTTTTATTTTATATTCACTAGGTCAAGTATTTAGGATGCAAGATGCTTCTTATCCACACTAGAAATAGAAGGCTAAAAGAGAGGAAAAGCAGCTATGTTGCTGTATAGCCGAAAGTTTAAATAAATGGACCCAGGAACTACCCTACATGGATGCCATCCGCCTCTTCTGTGATAAGATAACCTGTAAAAAAAGATTTGTGATGGCATTAAGCTGGATAAGAGTCATCACGGCCTTAGCTAGCCATCCTGCTAAAGGAAGGCCACAATCACCTACCTAATTCCCTTCTACGTCTTTCAGGGGCAGTAAGTACACCAGTTTATAGATGAATGAGAAAATTAAATGTTCAAAGAAATAATTACAAAATGAGGAAAGAAATCTCTGCTCATACTGAGTTTTGGGGCAGCAGTAGATTAAAGCGAGCTCGTAATAACTCATGCTGTCATTGTGTCTGGTTGGCATCTGATATGATTTATTTGTCAGATTTGCTCCCTATGAGCAAAATACTTACTGTGGTTATACCACAGTTAGAGGTTATAAGAGTCTGTCAATGCACCTCAATTTTGGTTTGCCACACTTCTGTTCTTCCTGCCAAACATAACTTCACTTAAAGGCTTTATGATGTCAAAAATGACAGATAACGGCCCACAAAATCCTCTTTCTTTGCGACACAACTTCACATCTCAGCAGCTTACAGGTGTGTCTGAACTGCAATGGCTTTGCACAAACTTGCTCTGCAGCCAGCTGAAAAGCTCAATAAAAGCAAGAGCTGTGCTGGCCGAGAGCACTTGCCGACAGTCTCACCTCTGCCAGGCCTTCATGCCGTGCAGGCACACGATGCTGCCCGGGCCAGCTCAAAGACCTCTAACACCTGGCTGCACTGCAGGTATCATCTGTGCAAAACCTCTTCCAACAGGGAAGAGGTAAGGGGATTCTGGATACAATGTGACCCCCACACAGCTTGAAGTAAATGAGAGCTTGTAACACACACCTTTGTATTTATTTATTTACTGTTCAGTTTGTTTCATTTAGTACTAGTATTTGCATCAACTTTTATTTCAGGGGGGGATGTTAGGGGGTGTTCCCCATTGGGATAATTTTACTCTCGGATTTTTTGCCTAATTTTGCAGTGGTAGCGTAAGACAAAACTCACCAATGAACACACCAGGTCATTATCTACGGGATTTTCCTCTCCTCTGAACTGCTAGATTTTTTTCATAGACTTGCTTGAAAATGAGAACTCGCTATTGACATTACCACAAACGTGATTAAAAAGAACAAAATAACCTACTGGTTATTCAGTAGGTCTGTGCTGAAAGGAAGCTCTGGCAGGTACTCTATGGATCTGTAAAACTCTGGAAATCAAAACTGGTTTAAGAGCCTTGTCTTAGAAACCACTCCATTTGCTCCATATTCAAAGACTAATGAAAAGGTCACACTGTTTGAATGGATGCAACATCTAGCAGAGAAATCTAACCAAGCATCCCACAATGCACATGCTCAAGTCGTGACCTACAAAAACCCTGTGTTTTTCTTGTTGGCTTTTTCCTGCTTGTTTTGTAGACCTGGAGGCTGGTTTGAACTGATAAGTGATTCACTCATGTTAACTAGTGGCTGCCCATCTCGTTATCCTTCCAGGCAGTCTGTGAACTGTGATGGCTTTTCCCACACTCACGTGGGAACCCCAGGAGGAACCTACTTTCCACCCTTTCTTCAGACGTCTGCTGTGTGTCCCTCTTCCCCATGTTTTTTTTTTCCATCAGATGATGACAGACCCATAGAGCTAACACTCTCGGCCACACAGAGGGAATACCTGGCTAAAGCAAGAGTACAGGAGACAGGCAGGTTTTACCTGTGCAGTGAAGAAAGCTGGAGTCAGGGATCCCGAAGGAAGCGCAGGGCTGTTGAGGGCGATGGAACCGATGTCGGTGCTGGAAAGAACCATAGGTGGGGCAGAGATTTCCAAGCCTTTGGGTTTTTTAGCTTTTGGGGGAAGAGATGGAGATTTTGCCTTGGAGCCTGAGGAGAGGTTCAGAGGCTCAAGGGAATCTGAGTCGTGGCAACTGGACTCAAGGAAGAGGCTCCTGTGTTCTGCAGGGAGGGGTGAGGTGGGAGACAGAGACGGTGACCTGGAGGAAGATGACGATGGAGATGAAATGCTGGCACTGTTGGGTAGCATTAAGGAAGATATTTTAGCTGATACTGATGAGCTGAGAAAAGCAGAGGCAGCTGCTGTTTCGGAAGTGGAAGGCAATGACACCATGGGCCTCATAACTTGTTTGTCTGTTTTGTTTGTCACAAATCTTATAACAGTCCGAACTTCTTCGACTGGTGTGTTTCCTTCTGACTTCTCCTCCAGTTTTTCTGTTTTGATTGGCTTGTAAGGGTCTGGCTGGTTCTGCAGAGAGTTGATAGTGAAAGAGGAGTACAGGCCAGAGTGGATATATTCATTACGGCTTGTGCTTTTCAGTGCTGACAAGCTGTGCTTGTGCTGATCCCTGCTCTCGGAAGGCATCTTACAGTCGCTGTCCTGCAGCAAAAGGCTCTCTCTGCTGATTTCCACAGCATGTGGATCCATTTTTAAAATCTCAGGAAAGGAGACAAACTTGTACACAAATTTTTGTCCGATCACTTTCTTGATGATGTTCTGCAAATACAAAAGCAGATGCTAGAAAGATCAGCATTTTAGAGGCACTGAGTACAGCAAACATAAGGGGGTTCACAAGGGTAGGGGGGCATTGCTCCCTCCTCAAGCTGAGCAGGTCATTTCAGTGGGGCTCCTAACGCTGCTCATCCTTGGCTCATTCCCATATTTGTGCTCAGCCAGGGAGACCATCCCCTGCTCCTCATGGTGCCTAACAAAATTACCATTACTAGGTGATAAAGACTGGGCTGTTTTCCTCTCGCTTCCTCTGAGGTAGCTTGGGAATATTTTCTTTCCAGTGAAAACAATTCTGCCGCCTTGCGGACTCAAGCCATGCCACCATTTGTGTTTCACAACAAAGGCAAACTCCTTCATTTATGCCTCACCTGACACCATTCTGAGAAATACTCTCAGAATGTCTGCAAGGGACAAAACCACCTCACCCTCCCTGCTCCAGTCATTTACCCTCTCTTCCTGACTGCATGCAGGATTGACCTAGGCTGACGGTGACTGTCCTTCTTTCAACAGTCATGAACTATGTCTGTGACAAATGCAATCACTTGCATGGGTTGGAAAAGTACTTGTGTCCTGCTGCATCCCCTGTACTATCTCCAGGTTTGCATTAGGCTCAGGATGCTCACTGGTGCAGGCAGAAGGTTTTCATGAGTCTAAACTAGCTATTGAAATTAATTATTGAAAAAAATCCCAAACCTCTCAAAGGTTGGTAGAACTATTTATTTTTTTCTTCATATTTGACATAATAAAAGTGTCCCCTTTATGGAAAGAACTGATTCCCTTTGAAACTGAAAACTTTCATGAGGTCCTGTTTCCAGCCCTAGCTCTCTTACTGCAAACCCGGGTATGCTGTCTGCTCTAATACAATGCGCGGTATCCCCAAGGACGCAATGTGAGCTCCTCCACAGAGACACTTTACGGCACCAGGTGCTGGCCTGGCCTAGGAAAAGGACTGGAACATTGACCACCCTAAGCCAAGTGCTGTGGAAGACAAGAAGCAGTATTTCCTGACATTTCCATAGTGATTTCTCTCTCCTTGAAGGCCCTGGTGGAGAATTTGTCTTTAAGTCACCTCTGAAAAACCCTTTCCGAGAGCTTCCCTTTAGTGCAGCACGTCTGCTGCACCTCCAGCTGATACTCTGCAAATAGACATTTGCTTTGCTGTACATAGAGGAATGTAAATATTTACAATATTCCTAAAAATCTAATTTGTTTTTCATTCTACCACAGATTCTGAGACCAGTGGAGGAAACATTTGTTAAATTGATTGAAAATGAAAAATAAAAAAAGAAAAAGGAATACAAACATCATCCCTATTTATATATGGGCAGTACCTAGTGCTGGGTGCTCGCAGTGCCCGCACTACACCTTTTTTTGTCACAAAAGCAAGGCTCATTTTGGGAAAGAAGAGTCTGCACTTGGGCATTGGAACCTCTTCTGTCTTTCAGCTGAGCTACCACACTCTGTAATTCATCTATCTGAATGTCCTGGCATTTCATTCAGGCACCTTCTTGAATACAAAATTAATCCTACAAAGAGCCCTGGGATGTAGCTTTGCTTCACAGGTCAGGAGCTGTGGCACAAATGGAGAAAGTTGTTTCCCAAGTTGATAATGGGGATCTGTACCAAGGAGGAGAATTAAATTCAGCAAGCTCAGACTAAAGGCACAAAATTGCCCTCTTCCATGCCGAACTGTACGCACATCTACCCACCTGGCAGATCCTGCAATGCCTATTTTTGCCCTCCAAAAGTTCAGGACATATAGTTAGCCCACAGGATCTCAGTCTGCATGAGCCTTAATTCCCATGGCTTTGGGCTTGGCCTAGATTTTTTTTTTTGGTGCTAATTAGGTGACACATTGGATGGACACACTTTTTCTGCACTCTCAATATTACATCCTTCTTGAAAAGGGCAAAACCTCCAAACTACTCACATACGAAAAGAAACACCCTAACTGGATTTCATTTTCTTTTTTTAATATATATTTTTTAATTTAAAATAATACCTCCCCTCTGCTCCTGGCAGCTTTGAGTTATTGTTACATCAAGCACTGGCAACTGAGATCCTACTTGGAAAATGTGACTCCCAGCAGAAAAAGATTAAAAGTATTTAAGGGTGGCACTTTTACACTGGTGCAGGCTTGAAACAGGGGAACATTGCTATAAAAAGTATCCGAATGGGCTCGTAAGTTTATACTTCCTCTGTTATTATTAAATATAGTTATATTTTAAGAAGGTCTCAGTGCGGCTCCTCTGACTCTGTAAGCCTGCAGCAAAGGCCCACTTAACAATGGCTGGAGATGAAAAGGATTCAAGTGCAGATCCCTCAAGCACTTTGCAGGCTTCTCATAAATGTGGAGCCTGAGGAAATCTCCATCAATGTGTAAGAGAAAATAAGGACGCAAATTAATTAAGTGCCTCCAAAATGCCACTGACTTTTCTAAATTTTTTTGACAAATAATTGAAGTGAAGGTAAAAAGCAGCTAATTTTTACCATCACCTCAGTGACCTGTCACAATCATTCTGAGCTGTGGACGATGGTTCAAACCACAGAAGACAGTGACAGGGATCATGACAAGCAGGGGTTTTCCACCCTCAGTTTGAAAGGGCAAAGAAGGCTTCCTTATATTAAGGACTGCATTTGCAGGGAGACTAGACCACTTGCTTGGTAGCAGGACAGTAAGTGTATGTGCACATTTAGCCCTTTTTTTTTTTTTTGTTGCTTGAATTTTCTAGGTAAATTCCCTTGTGAGCAGGCTTGCAATAAGTGCTAGTGGCTGCCGGCCAGGGCTGCAGGGAACTCCGGGGCTGCGCTGCCGGGGAAGGCGACTGCTGGGCCAGTGCAGCTGCTGGGGAGGAGAACTGGGCAACCAGGCCAGGAGAAGGGGCTCCAGTCCAACAGCTTAAAAAAAAAATCTTATCAAGAGGCAGCACTCTCTGACATTTAGGATAAGGTCAGGGAGCTGGGAATGCCCCTCTTCTGTTGGCTTCTTGACTGTTCCTCACTTAAACACTTTACACTTCCTCTCCTCTGTCCCCAGTCTATAAAACAGTGACTACAGCAAATGTGACCACCCCGCATTGCAAAGTGCTTTGAAAGCTTCTGATACGAACTGGGTACAGCACTGCCTGACGTCTGCTCTAGCTCATCAGCTGTGTTAGGGAGCTCAGGCTTATTCACACCACATCAATTCAGACACTCACTTTATGAGCACCTCCAAAACCAGCCTTACCCAAGTGCTCTGAATCACCAGCTGGAGGGATGGGTCTCTCCCCGTCCTTCTCCACAGACCAGCTGGCTGAGCTAGATGCCAAAGGCTCGGTGGCCTCGTTCCCCCTGCAGCTTAAACCAGGCTATAATGCGGCTGGGGTTTTTTCGTGTTAACTATGCATATGCCCAACTATGCATATGCCCTCCCGAAATACACAGGAGCTGTTTGCCCATCTCAACAGCACATGACCTCTGGGTTTCTTTCCATTTTTTTTTCTTTCCTCCCAGAAGTCTTCCTGTGCATTGGTGCAACTCAGACTTCGTTTCTTCTATCATGTGTTTGTGGTTTATTTCCATCAGCTCTGACTCTTACTCCCTGTTTGAGCCATTTAGAACTAAGGTGTAACTATACTACTAGTGTGACACAAGGATTTTAGTGGCTTAGCTCAAACCTGTTAGCTAGCAAGTTTGCTGCTGCAGGAGCCACTCGGGAGACTGAGCTGGGAAATGGGACCCAGTTCCTAGTTGAACTTCAGACTAATGAGGGGCCTCAGGGGCAGGAAGACCAGATTGGGACTTTTTTATTCCTCCCAGGAAGTCACCTATAATCAGGGTGCCCGAGATCTCAAAATTTGTGGCAGAACAGGATGAACTTGTCTGTAGGTACTAAATGTCCCTGCCTGGGAAAGAAGAAGGACCAGAGCTGTTGCTGCTGCACTTAACTCCCATTTGGATGTGTTGCAAGTTCCCTGGCTCCAGGAGTATACTGAGGGATGCGACATGTGTAGGAACACTTAGGCTACAAATTCCTCACAGGACTCTATGAGGAGGGAGCCAGGCTGCCTCCAGCTACTGGGAACCCTACCCAGAGAGAGGGCTGCTCACACTCCAACGTCTGAAGTACGTAAGCTGGCAGGAGGTACCCGTGGCTGCATGGTTTGCTCCAAAAAACGGGGCGTGTGTCCACATCAGTGTGTGCAGGCAGGCAGATTCTGTTAACATCATACTTTATGCACTTATTATATTGTGTGCGTAGAACCTAGATTTTGTGAAATTTTTGATGGAGGCACAGGTGCTACTGGATTGTGCACCTGTACTGAGCTTCAGAATTGCAAGGCTCTTATTTAGCTGGATTTCAGGCTTTCCTCACCCACCTCCATCTGGAAGGCAAAGGCCATCTGGCTGGCACCTTTGGCCAGGTTCTGTGCTCCCTCTGCTGCAGTTCACTGGGCATCCCTTTCCTCTCACATCAAACATGAACTATTTGTCACTCCTTTCGGAGGAGTTCTTGGGTTTTCTCCTCTACCTCTTACCGAGTATCAAATTCTTTACTCCCATCTTTCCATAAGGACAGCACTCAATAACCACTTTTATGCCATTTCAGACAAGCACTTTCTTGAATTCCACACACCACTCTTGAAAGAAGCTCCTTCCAATTCTCTATAAAGCTATTTTCTAATGCTCCTTCAAGTGTTTCCTTATAACATCTTACCTGTACCACTACAAAACATATAGTTGGTACTCTAGCACCATCATACTGCTAGTGTTTCATTGTAATATTCTATTTCTCCTGAGGTAACTCAAGAGAAGACCTTCCCAAAAGTAAAACAAGAGTTTCCATTATCACTTTATATCCCGAAGTTCTGCAAGCAGAACAAGCAAGGGACCCTCTTTCCAAAACAATTCTTCCATGCTGCCACCCACACTTGGGCATTAAAAACAGGAACTAGTAACCAGGCTACTGGGTCTGACCTGTTATGGGAGGGGAGGGAATGCCA